AAACAATGAATCAAAATGAAAGTAAAGTGATTCGAAATTCAATCAGTTTGTGCGATAACAGAGTTTGAGCAAATATTAAGGTGATTTCTAATGAAAATGCTGTTAAGGTAGAACTAAATTAAACTAATAAATTTTAAATTTAAATAAATTTTAATGACTTGGTTATTGTAATGTTATTAATAAATAATACTTAGTAATTGTAATAATTAGTAATAATTAGTAATAATTTAGTAATTGTCATGTTATTAATTAATAATACTTTAATAATTTAATTCAAGTTTAATGACAATTAATAATTTAATTGTCATGTTACTACCTAATAATACTTCAGCAATTTAGTGATTGTATTATTATTAATAAATATTGTTTTAATTGCAATATTATTGACTAATAATACTTTAATAACGTAGTAATTATAATATTATTAATAACTAATATTTGAATAACTTTATAATTATTTTTTTAGTAATTTTAATAAATAATATTTTGATGTCGGAAGTTTAGCGAACAAGTCGGCCATTTTAGTTGCAACAACCTAATAGCATGATTTAATGAAAAAAACCTCCAAAAAAAAAATTACACTTCTTTATTTAATTAGCTGTGAAAAATATTGTACATTACTACAAATAAATACATAATCATTGTTTTTCATTCTATTAATTATACATCAAAGTTTTTCAATTATTTTCAATATTATTCTCTTAATTATCATCATAATAATTCTTCAATTATTTTTAATTATTTTTTAATTTGTTTTCAATTTTCAATTTAATTATACTGTTAATTCTAATTATTTGTAGTTACTCTATTATTATTTTAATCACCTATAAATTATTTTCAGGAATTCTATCAATTATCTCAATCACCTACCAATTATTTTCACTCTATTAATTATCTAGTAACTATTCAATCATTCTTAATTACTCCAACAATTTTTCTACTATTTTTCAAATATTCTATTAATTGCTCAAATAATTTTTAACAATTTTAAATTTCATTAATAATTTCAATTATTTAACTATACTATAAATTTTGTCGTTCTAAAAATTAATAACATTTAGTAAATTTTAAATTGCATTAATAATTTGAATTACTTAACTATACTATAAATTTTGTCGTTCTAAAAATTAATATCAAATTTTATACGTAATGCATTAACTTTCTCTAATCAATGTACGATTTCGATGAAAATGCGGAATAAGGTCTGCCCTATAAGAAAGATTTTCGGAAAATTTTCGTCGAGATTCGAAAATGTCCTACATGCTCGAGACAATCGATTGAAAATGACATAGTAGACGGAAGATCGAGCCAAGAGGACTTCCGCTTGAGTAGATCTACTTACCTATCGCTAACGAGACCGGTGTACCCTCATTCACGAGAACACCTATCGACCGGTGGGGAACTCGAGAAAATTCTGCGGAACGTAGTCGACGATGCACGGCTCGAAAATTCATCGTTTCGTGCACGTGTTAAGGCTCGACTTCATGCCACTTGTGTTCGAAATGAAAGAAAACAAAACGGAAAGAAATAGAAAGAGGATTCGATCAGATGGTTGCCTCGGGACGATCAAACGACCGAACAGGTGGCGATGAGAGGTGCTTCTTCCTAGTTTTGGTATCGTGAGAGAAGGTTTTGATCGTTCTTTGAGATATTGGGAGAATTTCTTAATTTCTGCAAAATTTTTGGTCGAAGGTGAAATGATGTGTTAATTTATAGATGGAAATCGATATGATTTTGTAAGGCATATGTAAACGATTTTTTGGAGAGTTGGAATTTTGAACGTTATTGAAATTATACCGTTGTTAAATTGGAATATTGCGTTAGAAAATTAATTTTAGAATTATCGAATTTGGTTACGTTGTAATTTTTTGAGAATGCAAGAATTTAAGGTGAGTTAAAATAAATTTTGAAGTGCTGGTAAAATGTGATGATAGTTAAAAAATTTAAGTTTGAATGGTAAGTATTGAATATTAAGATGATTAAATATTGAAATATTAATATTTTGAAATATTGAAATAATAAGTGTTAAACTACTGAAATATTGGAATATTAACATACTAACATTTTAAAATATTAAAATACAAAAATAATAAAATACTGAAATATTGGATTAATAAAATAATAACATATTAAAATATTAAAATACAAAAATAATAAAATACAAAGATATTAAAATATTAAAATATTAAAATGCAAAAAACACTGAAATCCAGAAATACTGAAATATTAAAATATTAATCTTCAAAAACTCATAAAATTTTGTTAGTTATAAATTACTCTGACAAATTGAATAATTACCATTTTTATAAAATAAAGTACAAGTAATATACAAAATTTGGTAAATTGAGTTAAAAGAAATTGTTAATTGTTCAAATTACATGATTAATTAAAATTATAAAATTATAATATTAAATTAAGAATTAATCTATAATGATTTATCATATTTTTACAATTATTATTACTCTAATAATGAATCATAGAATTATCTTATAAATTATTAAATAATTTTCATTTTTATAAAATACAGAATTTTCTAAATTACACTAAAAAAAAATTGTTAATTGTTCAAATTATACAAATAATTCAAAATATCAGATTGAAGTATTAAACTAAAAAATTAATCTATAATAAATTATATTTGTTATGAATATAATAATTAATATATTTATATTTATTATTATAATTAATTATAAAATTCTTTTATAAATTATTCAAACAAAATTGAATAATCTCCATTTTTAAAGTATAAGAAAATTTGTTAAGTTTTAACTATTTTTCTTTTGACAAATAAAAAAAATTAACCCCCTATTACAATTATTAATAATTAAAAATTTCAAAGTGAAACATACTAAAAAGTTTATTTAAAATAATTTATTACATTACATGTGTTTTATTATACAATAATTTTCAGATTTTATTTCTCTAATCAAGCTAAAATAAAAAACTCTAAATTGTAATTAAAAAATTAAGAAATTAATTAAAAATATTAAAATAGAAATTTATATTAAGAAATCAACACAAAATTTTGTTACAAGTATTACTATAATTTTTAATTTTATAAGAAGTTTATGCAATGCAAATTAGATTGAAATAAGAAAATTCTAAATTATATTGGTAATATAAAATATGAAATTAAATCACTGAAAACTTAATCCTTACTAATCCACATGAATTACTATATTTTATCTCCAATAAAATTACTGTTTTAATCCTATCATTATATCACACCGAATATTTGCGTTCAAATGCGTTCTTATGTGAATTTAATATATTTATTACAATTTCCAATTTCATACGGCAGAATTTACATAACGTAAGAGTGTATTATACATATATCAAATCGACTGTAACTGTTTAATAACCTTCTTCGTCAATTCAAATTGTGTTAATTCACTAATACGAATGTCTCTAAGTATTTTAGTCTACTCTAAATTCATTACCTTTCAGGCATAAACTACTTTAATACTACACCTACCGAAGGGGTCAAAATGTCTCAAATATTTCACAAAAAAATCTACAAAAAGTATCTAAAATTCGAGCAATACTAATCATTCAAAACACCTTCTTATTTGTCTAAAAAGTCACCTTAACCCCTTGCGTAAGATTAACCCTCGATAATCTAGTGCAAAAATCCTATGAATAACTAATTAAAAAAACTGCACTACAACTACGTGAAAAAACTCGGCACAAACTTTCGTTATGTCCAAAACTCAACTATCAAAACCTTCAATACACAATAACTACAGCTTCCTTAAATTGATCAGGATTTACCTGAACGTAAAACACCCGTGGGTTCCGACAGTACCTAAGTCCAAAAATCACCCATCGCCACCTTCGAGGGATCGTTTAGGTGTAGCACGAGTGGGTAATCGCGTTAGAGAAAGAAACAGATAGATAGAGAAAAAACACACACACACACGCACGAATAGAAGGTTTGGAGTAGTATCTCTGTAAAGAAAAGCTGGAACAGTCAGGATTGAGTAGAGCCACGAGGACGCTGTATCCGTTAATAAAAATGTACAATAATTGAGCATAAGCGAGGACGTACGTCTGTGTACATGTGTGTATAATATATATATATATAATATATATTTATATATCTGTGTGTGGTCTAACAAATTCGCCATCCATGGGATTCACCGCAGCGATAGAGAAAAAAGGGGATTCGATCTTCACACGGGGAGAGACTGTTGTTGGTTGAGAAACGTCATGAATTCGAGAAAATTATACTACGATCGAGATTCACCGGTGTTCTCTCGACGATACTGACTTGTGGAAGCTCTATGGGGGACTTGTCCGTGATGGGATGCACCATCGACGCGAACAGGCTGTCATTATGGGTCAGCTGGTCCTTTCCCGAACCTATGTACCTAGTTTGAATCGGTCGAGTCAAAAAAACTCGTCAGGATTTGCATGGATGTCCCCTTCGATTCTCTCCCTTAACACGTTCAGCACGGATCGGTCGACGAGATCTATCGAACATGAAGTCCGATCGGTAAAACAAGAAGATAAGGACCCTAACGGAAGCCTGGAAGTTTAAATTGCGGCCCAAAGTTTGTCCGCCGGGCTGAACGTGTTAAAGCGTCCCGGCGAGCACACGACTAACTCGAAGGAGTCCTGTAAATTGCAGACAGTTCCAAAAATTGACAGAACAGAACCGTTTCCCGTGGGAACATTGCGAAAAACTGAACGGCAACGCAAAGCTGTACGGACCAGACAGCGGCTGCCAAAAAAAGAGGCGTCAAGGACAAAAGAAAAACAAAGTCGGTCAGTTTTTGAAACTGACAAACAAAACGACGACGAGACGCTTGGTTTTCTTTCTCTTTGTACAAGGATCACACGAACTGTGGGTATATTATAATGAAAAAAAAAGATATATATATATGTATGTGTGTATATATATATATAAAGAGAAATATATAATGTATATATATACACACGTATACCGAAATAAATGAAAAAAAGGGGTGCTTGTATAAGAAATTGTTGTAAACACTCACATAGACCTCTTCCCATTGCGAGACATACCGCACCAGTCTTGACAACCGTAGTAACCTAACGAGCGACAACAGTTTCGCAAGCCTGAGGATCCTTAGAGCACGGCCAGCATGCAGGATCTGGAAGGACTCGCTAAAGTCCTGAAACTGATAAATTTTGCATTATTAGTTGAGAAGAAAGGAATTTTCGTTCTCCAACTGTTTGCGAAAGTGCGCCGCGTTAAATGATCGATGAAATCCCTCGGTAAGCGAGCGTACGTTCTTTAGTTTGTGAAAATGATTTCGAAGAGCGAATCACTGACTAAAACGAAAAAACATCGTGTAATAATCAATGAATATTGTATTCACAGTTTGGAATATGTATATGTTTATGGTGTAACGCAGTACAATTATACTCTTGAGCTACACTGATCACATGTGCTACACGTTGTTTGAAGAAACATTGTAACTCAGTCTACAGAAGTTAACTCTATCTTAGAACACCATTTTCTCAAACTTCTTTATAATTAAATAGTATTCAATAAATTTAGACATACAACAATTCTAAGTATCGGGATTAGGAGTCTCAGACTGGTTCTCCAATCACCTATTCCGTCAACCAGTTTCTATCAGCTGTTCAGATACACAATTTAAGTATAGAAAAATAATAGTATTGATTAGGCTAAATAGTATTGAAAATGTTTCACAAATCAGTTCATATTTTTACACGAGTAAAGATTGACAAAGCGAAAGGTAGGTGCGGTGTCAGAAAAGTAGACATTGTTGGGAATGATCGACACTAACGTGAGCAACTGTTGTATGATTGTAATTGAGAATCGTGGGACGTCTATTATACCAGTTATAATGAAACACATTAATATTGCTAGTGAAATTCATACGGACTATGTCGAAAGTTACACAGAAGGCTAAATACTGAGCGTTATACACAGTAAAGAATAGGCAAGCATAATTTACTTTGAATTTCGATTAGATTACTGCCAAATTTACATGAAACTTTAACTAAATGATTTAACAAATGTTAGCTAACGACGTACTCAAAAAATGTAATCATGGCGTCCTGTAAAGGACTGGATGACAGGAAGAGGACGTTTTGTAATGAATTTGCACTTCGACTGTGCGACAGTCGATATTTGTGCCGAAATAATATTGATCTAATGGCACTTCTAATGGACGCACAATATGTATTTTACTAAATAATAAAATTCACGTAGTTACTACATTAAAATGGCTATACAGTACTCAAAGTTATTTTAACAACATATAACTTTTGAACTAATGAATTTCGAATTTAAATTTGAATTTAAAATTGAATTTGAAATTCTTATATTTTATTTGTATTTATTGAATACTAGACTGTGCAAAATAAGTTGAAAAAATAGTATCCAAAGATGAAGTTTAACGTATATTTACTTTTGTCGATGGTTTGCTCCTCGAAATCAATCACCGTTCACCGTAACTGATCGCGTAGAGAACGGAACAGCGATCAGTTAACGCGACTCTACTATGTATAAGTAATTTTAAGATCTCAAAATTTTTAGTTTACTATATATAGTTAATTCATTGTAAGATTTCGGAAAGTTTTAATTCTATCTCAAGTCTAAAATTCCAGAGTTCTATACTCCTATATCTTACACTCCTAGATTTCACTATAAAATGTAGAAATTTATTTTATTATAATACTCTAAATTATTGTGTCACGAGTATAATTAAAGAACGAAAATAAAAGGCAAGTATCTTATTCAGGCATCCCTTGAATAACATGGCAGTTGAATTGCACGATGTCGCGAATATTACTGCAGGATTACTGAGTAAACAATGTCCGATATAATTAAGTTTCTTGAAGAAAAAAACCACGTTACAGGAAAAACCTGGTTTCGAATAACACGGAACCAATTAACCGTGTTATCTGAGAGATGCCTGTATAAGACAATTGATTAAACAGTACACTTACTTGATTAAATATGAGGAAAATGTAGTCTAGTGGTATGGAGGAAATGAGGTCGAGAAAGAACCAAGTCCTGAGGTAGTGTTTCGCGATTAACTTCGGGTCCAGGATCACTTGCTCGGCGTTATCCTGCTGCATTATACCTGAAGAAGTACAGAAAAAACAAATTATAATTTCTCTTTCATCAAATTTCTTGACTTAATTTTACTATATCGTCTATTCATTAACTAGTGTTAATGATAATAAAGCTAAGAAATTTTTATGATAGTATTACTTTATATTATTAAAATTAGAAATTTTATTAATAAATCTTAATTTCAATTTTAATAACAGATTTTAAGAAATGAATAATTAAGTACACAATAGGAACGATTTTTGGAATTCACAGTATTCAGTAAACTCTTATTATATTATCAACGTCAAAACGGTAGGACAGTTCTCAAAATTCCTAGAGCACAATCGACTTTCGTTATATCGGTAAAAACGGTATTGTAGAAACGGACAATTCTTAAGGTTTGTTATATTAGACCCTTCTTATATTGCCACCAACGAAGTTGTAACATCAGAAAATTTTTGAAATTTGCAAATACAATATACTCGCTATATTGCTGCTGAAGAGAATGTTAGAGCAAACAATTCTTAGAATTTACGATATATAGTAAACTCTCGTTATATTGCTGTAATACCTGTATGAGCAAACAATTCGTGAAATTTATCATATATAATGGACTTTTATTACATTTCCACCTATAAGCAGTCAGAAATTCATGGAATTCGTAGTATGCATTCAACTCTTCTTATATTGCCATCGACGACATAATACCAATGGGAAATTATTGTAACTTGCAGGCAGACGCTATACTCTCGTTATATTGCCACTAACAGAACTGTAGGAGCATGCAGTTCTTGATGTTCTCCGCATACAGTAACTTTCGTTATATTGCCACTAATGGGACTATATGAGTGAACAGATCTTAAAATTTTCAGTATACAGTAAATTTTTGTTATATTACCAACAACGGAACTGTGGCAATAAAATTTTTGAATTTTGCGATATATAGAAAACTCTCTTTATATTGCCTTTATATGCAAATTGTTCTTAAAATTGTTAACATGCAGTAAACTTTATAAAAAAAGTTCCCACTAACAAGACTGTAGGAGTAAAATTTTTTAAATCGATGCTGTATAGAAAACTCTCGTTATATTGCCACTAATGAAACTTTCTTTAAGTTTTAAGTTTTTAGCAAACAGTAAACTTCCGTTATATTGCTGCTAACAGGCCTGTGGGACTAAAATTTTTGAAATTCGACATTTACAGAAAACTCTCATTATATTGCCACTAATAAGACTTTATATGCCAACAGTTCTTTCAGTTTTCAACATACAGTAAACATTTGTTATATGGTCACCACTGAAACTGTGAGAGTCAAATTTTAGAAATTCGGGACACTATAGAAAACTCCCGTTATATCGCCACTGCCGGAACTAAAAAGGCTAAAAATTCTTTAAATTTGCAATATATAACAAACACTCGTTATACTGCTATATAACGAATACAGGAGTAAACGATTTTTGGAATATATGATATATAATATTCTCTTGCTATATTGCCAGAAGATTATAAAGGCTGTATGACCGCATGCGATACGGTGGTTGGTCAAATTATACTCAAATAAAGTTTCAGATTTCACAACTTCAACCGATGAAACATATTTTTGTTATAACGTTGCAGTATATCGTTACAATATAATATATTGTATAATTTGTTACAACGCGTTATTTTTTAATAAGAATACACGTAATTAAAAGTAAAAATAAAGCACTCGAACACTATATTCCACAAGGAAGTACAATTATTTAATATTTCGTCACTCCGCCCTTTTACAATCCTAATTACAAAGAATCTAGCACCTACCGCATACAACGTCGCTTAAATCGAAGTCAAGATTTTCGCCCAACCACTAACACAGGGCCGAAACATAGAATGCTCAACTTACACTTATATCCATACTCGCATGTTATTCCAGAATATATCAAGTACCAATAACATTGTTAACCTAATTAAACTCGCGTCTGTCTCATATTCTTAAAAAGGAATCTCTCGAGTACAACAATTCAGCCCGCCACTGTACGCGAACCAATATTTACCGAGCTACAAAGAGGAAACAGTTATGCTTCCGTATTGTCTCGTTTTACTGTAACGCGCGGCCCTAGTTTCGGCACATCGTTACGAACGTGTTAATTATTCACCGTAAATTATTTCGCAGCCGGTGAATCGGGTTGACGACGAAACGGTACAAATGTAGCAATAACAATTCAATAGGCAGTATGAAGTGGCAGCTTAGACGTTTCGTTATTGCCTGTGGGATTAATTTGAAACGCGTTCTTGTCGAAATTTGGGTCACGTGCCGTGTCGCGATGAAAGCCATTGTACGCGTTAAACCGTGTACGTGGTCCGTGTCGAATTCGCGATTGTTGCGAATTCTCGATCCAGATTATCGGCCGTCGACCAATATTGCGTTCCATCGGCTGAATACTAACACCCGAACATGTCCGGCTGCGACAGAAGTCGATCCACGAAGAAATATTTGTATGCTAACGACGAATCTCGATTCCGGCAGCCATCTTCGAATATTTGAGAAAACTGTTCCGTAAAAAAGGGTGAGAAACTTGGAGGTTCTGGAGCGATGGTATCTTCGCGAAAATGAAATTTTTGCATTCAACAAATTTCTGGGTCTCAAAATGTAGATTTCTAATAATCTAATATACAGGATGACTCACCACATTTTGCCATCTAAATTTGCGTCATTATTATTACTCATAGCAAACAATGTTTTAGATGAAGTTGAATGGTTTTGAGGGAGGCATATGCAGGCATTTCCCTGTATAATTGTGGAAATAATTTTTACACAGACGATGGTTCTTGAAAATAAAATTTTTTAGTTCAATGTTTAAAAAATTTCCATATCTCAAAATTAACAACCGTAAATATCTCAAACGTAACAAACTGTTTCAGATTATACCAAAGTCTGAACTAGAAGTGTCTCTAAATTAAAAACTATTTAAAATTAATCGTGTAAGATCAAAAGAACGATTTTCAATAATAAAGTGATTTTTGATCGCAAAATCAATGTTGTTCCTAAAACGTGTTTCAGTTTCGAAATTTTCCACTTTTCATCGTCTTCTACTCGCTCCGATTAGATAACGTTGTTGCAAAAGGCTTTGAGCTGCAACCGCCTTTGAGATACCGTCAACGTCGTTCACACGAGAAGACTTGGGTAGAGTTTCAAAAGAAAGAAGTTCTAATGATTGACATTAAAGGGGATACTGTTATCTGTTACAGGGGTTTACATAAAACTTTGACTATATATTCTGCTAATTACGGTCGGTAATTTATACCCAATTTGTCTACTTTTCAATGTCCCCTAAAACTGATATCTTATTATTCTATGAAAATTTTCGTTGTTCTTTAAATTTAACTTTCCAATATTGTCTAATAATAATACTGCGTGTGTAATAATAATTTCAATATTATCTTTTATTAATTTAAAGTTTATTATATGTATTTATTTCAAAATTCTGTTTAATTTTTGTATTAATATGTATATTATTCAATGTGCTTCTTATTTAATATTAATAATTATGTTAATATTAATGATTAACTTATGTTTTTATGTGAACATGCTTTCCTTATTATAAAATTATAAAAATATAATTGTAAAAATATTAAATATTTTGTTTCATATTTTATGTATTTTTACAAATATAAAATTATTTGTTTAAAATGCAATCTTTCTTCTATATATAAAATTAATCATTTGAACATATTTTTAATAATTATAGTAATGTTATCCATATTCTTCTTTCATCTCGATTTAGTCAACAGTTTTAATCCGAGATACATTTGCAAAATGTTTCACTAACTAATTTATACTTTTATAAGTGGCTACGAATTTAATTTCTGCGTTCAGAGTGTACTTTTGCACGATTGTCGAACTTTTCGTCGTTTAAGAAGTATCGTGACGACGGGAAAAGATAGTAATCCAATGGCGGCAAAGTAGAAGAATCATATAATAAGAACGACTCGATTTAACCCAGCAAACTTTCCCATTTCCATTCAAGTTTGTATACTTACTCTCGTTTAAAGCTTTATCGAAGTTGAGATGAGCCATTCAACCAGATATTCGATTCCGGGGTATAAAAAGATGTTTTCTCCGTTTCGTTGACGATTCGGATTAATAATATAAACTTATGTTTGGGGAAATGGAATCAGAAACGATGCAGAAGTTTTTATCGTCGCATATAAATGTCTAATTTTTTATTCAATTTACTTTTAATGCATTTAAGTTTATTGCTGCTTTTTGTTTTAAATAAATTACTGTAAACTGCTTTAAATTACTATAAATTACTGTAAACAAATTGTTAACTCGATATTTTTATGTTTTAACACTTTGTAAATTATTTCAGTCTTTACTTTTTATCCTTATAAGTATTACAAGTTTTATTTAGGAAGTTCTAATTTTTCATTTTTTTTTTGTTGTGTATTTTTAATAAAATTCTATACTTAGAATTTATTAAATTTTTATTTCAATTTTAACAAATTTATATTCAAAAATTTAGTAAATTGCTATTTCTAACTTACAGATTTTTAGTCTTAAAATTTGGTAAATCTCTATCATATATTTAACACGATTGTTAACATTTGATGAACTTATTGTATAATAAATTCAACAAGCTTTTATTTTTAGAATTTATCAAATTTTTGTTTTAGTTTTAACTAATCCCTATTTTAAATTTAACAAATTTTTACCCTAACAATTTAACAAAACCCTATTTCAAATTTGACAAATTTCTAACCTCAAAATGTGATGAATTTCTATATGAAATTTAATCAACCCTTGTCTTTTCAATTTGATAAACCCCTATTTATAATATAATGAATTTCTATCCTAAAATTTCTAATCCGAAAATTTGCCAAAAACTTCCTTAAAATTAATTTCTAAAATCCTACAATCATTGTTTCATACTATAGTAAAAAAGTATGCCAAAAATATGTAAACAACATACTGAAAAGATTAATCTATTTAATAATTCATTACCTTCTATTAATTTATACTATTAGACCTGTAAATGTGTTAATAAACATCTCTATATATTTAGTAATCAGTTAAAGAATAAGTATACTTTGAGACAACCTGTATAGAATATGAAACAATGATTACAAAATTACAATGGTTTTTTCAACGAACCATATTTCATTTAAACCTTAAAAACATTGCTACAAACTCACCTGTCCTGAAGTTGACGACAATGTCTATGAGGAATATCGTGTCGGAAAGGCAGTTGAAGGCTATCCACCTAGTGCTTAGGTCGTCATTGAAAAAACTAATGGCGACTGGCAGAATTATCAGATTTGCTACCAGCAGGAGGAGCATACAGAGGTCCCAGTAGAATCTGTAACAGAAAATAAACCCAGACAAATTAATCTTCACTTCCATAGCAAGAAATCAAGTTACAAGTCACACAAATCTGAATACACAATTAAATTCACATTAACAAGAAATAATATTGTAAACATTATTGCTAAAAATTAAAATTAATTTTTGTTCGCACGAGATTTAGTTAATTAGTAAATTATAATTTCTTAAAATATAATTTCAATGACTTATTTTTAGTCAAAAATTAAGTTTAAATTTAATTTAAACAATTAAAGACTAACTGACCTCTACTGTATTCTAATTTTGAGTAGCTATTTTTAATTAACAATTGGAAATTTGATTTTTAATTGAGAACTTGATTTGATTTACTAATTTTTAATTTCAAACTTTAAAGCTCTTTTGTAAAAAAAGATAATAAAAATATTTTAAAAATATTTAATTTGAATAGTAAAAAAAAGTAAAGAAAATTTACTTTTACGTTGAATTAGCTAAGTTTGTAATTTTCTAAATTAAATTTAAACTTAGTTTTCCTGAAAATTTAATTTTCGTTCATAAATCTGCGCGTTCAATCTGATGTGCCGAAAATAACATTTCGATATTAGACTGGTGTGCATGTTCCACTGACGTTAATCTCTTAGAAAATTTATGGGTAATATTGATACGACCGATTTTTTCAAATAATCGTACATATTCAAATGTGGGCGAATAAAAGCTTGCAGTAACTGACATATGGAACAATATAGCACAACATTTTATTGGCAGTATACCAAATCGAATTTCCTATCTGCGAACATGATAAATTAGTTTCACATTTTTGAATTATTAACGTTCACATTTTTCCATAATAAAACAATTTCTTTAAGATGAAAGATATATTAAAAAAAACGCCTGAAAATTAGTTTTATATTCTTTGAGCTGATTTATATCAATATGTCAAATTTGTTTTATATAATTTGTTAAAAAGGTATGTTAAAAAAGACAACCGCACGTTTCCAGTAGAACGCGTCCAATCAATCGGAACAATTCGGCAACCTTCGGTAATTTACGACGTGCGAGCCGGTTGCCGGTCCGCGACGATGGCACGTGGTGGTTAGAATTTTATAAGACGAAGAATACAAACGTGTCGTGTAAATAGCTAATAAATTGTTATATTAGAAGCACGAAGTTCATTTTGAGATCCCAACAATCAAAAACTTGTGAATTTTAATGGAACATTCCTTAATCGCTTCTTTAGGATTTTATTAAATATTAGAGTTCTTCAAATTAAATATTATACTGTAATATTCAAGTATTATACTATCTTATTATACTCCTTTGATAATTAGAAGTACGATGAATTGTTAAAAGGAACATTAAAAAAGGGCAATTACATGTCTCCAATGGACGTGACAAGCCAATCGGAACAATTCGGCAATCTTCGACAATTTACGGTATGTGAGTCGGTTGGCGGTCCGTAACGGTCGACATGTAGCAATTAGGTTAAATTCGAAAGGATCAGTAAAGTTGTGTCGTGTAAATAAATTATTATATTAAAGAAGAAAAAATTTATGTCAAAATCTCAACAGTATTGTTCACACCCTACGAATTAATTATTTAAAGAATCTTAAATTGAAAATTTAGCTTAATATAAAAACAAAGAGGGTTATGTTCACGCAATACCCTCCCGAACCGAAAAATCTTACAGCTTGAAATTTCACGAAGGGAAAGTCAAAAGGGGAGAGACATAAACGAGGGTAAATCTACTTGAGACTTCCGTTTTGAAGGTGCTGCCGCAAAAGCTCGAGTTCATCGGTGCGTAGTCGTCAGAGAAGCTCTCTGTCACGGTTTTCGAGCAACTTCGAAGCTGGTAGCAGCTTCAAGCTATGAGCGCATTTATTGCCGTGATGTAGCAACGTTTATTACTCGCCGAAGTGGGCCAATGTTACCCGCTCCGCTTCGAATCGAACCGATTAAAGCAGACCTTCCAGAAATTGCTCTTCGTTCTGTCATCGATTTTCCTCTTCTTCCTTCTTCATCTTCTTGGCTCGCTTTCAGCGAACTCCTTCCGTTTCCTTTTTCCTCTTTTCTCTTTTTTTCCTGAGGATACACTTTCGCCGCTAAGAGAGCGGAAACCGTTGTACTTGCCGAGCGGAATCGCTCGAGTTCCAGCGTGTTTGCGCAGAAAATTGAGTTGAGATTTTTGCGGATGCTTTAGGATACGAGAGCGGAAGTTTTCGGGAACTTGCCGCATTTTTATGCTCGATTTTATCGCAACGTTTTCGTTTAATCAAATTTCGAATTTGAAACGCGATCTCGCGACTTTCGAAAATATGATAAAATTATTAAATCTAATAGAAATTTAAAATTTTTAGAATTTTATAACTAGGTATTTTTGGTATTTTTGGAAATTTGGGAATTTTAGGATTTTGGAGAATTTGGAGCTTCAGTGGTTTCATTTGAGTTATTGAGAATATTTTAATTTTTGAATTTTGGAATTTGAGAGTTTTGGAATTTCAGAATTTTGGAATTTGAGAAATTTGAAATTTGAGAGTTTTGCAATTTCAGAATTTTGGAATTTGAGAGTTTTGGAATTTCAGAATTTTGGAATTTGAAAGTTTTGAAATTTGAGAAATTTGAAGTTTGAGAGTTTCGGAATTTCAGAATTTTGGATTTTGAGAAATTTTAGAACATTGGAATTTTGAAATTTTAATATTTGAAAATTTTACACTTATAAAACGTAAAAATTCTGAAATGTTGTAGTTTTAAACGATTGAAACGTAATAAGTTAGATCTCCAAAACCCCCACAGTGTTCAAAAATAGCAGATCAATATAATGATCATTAAAATCATTGCCAGATTGTTGAAGAGAAATTTATTGACTGATAAAGAAAGTTTAAAGAGATATCGCAACGTGTTCATCCGTCATTCAGATGTACAGGAAATGGACGAATGAAAACGTTTGAATTAAATCGAGCATAAAACCAAAGCAACGGCACTTTAAATATTTACTGAGCCTAAAATTAAGCCGGTGCTTCTGGACCATAAATAAAGAGCTAAAAATGATTCACCTATCGAACCAGAAAACCGAACGCCACCGCATTTACTGTTCCCCATTCGGTTTTATATTTTTAGTATAAATCTGAAATATTAAATGCATTGCTATGACTATTCAATTATGACAAAAGCGGAAAAGTTAACAATCATATTAAAAATGTCATCATTTTATGCGCTTTATTCGTTTTTTTCATTGTCAATTCTTTCAATTATTTTCGATTAAGTATTAATAATTGAATTAATTAAGTAATTTCAATTAACTGTTTTCATGAGATGTAATGGGCTAATGAATTGATTGATTGAATTGCTTGAATTGATTGAATTGATTGAATTGATTGAATTGATTGAATTGATTGAATTAAATAAATTGATTAAATTGATTGAACTTTTAATTAAAAATTGAACTTTAATTTTCAATTTGTACATTCAATTTTTGATTAGGACATCATTCGATTAACATCTGTAATTTAATTGTCATTCATGATTATAACTTAATCGTTATTCATAATTGTCATTTAATAAATTCATAATTATAATCTAATCTTTATTAAACACTATAACTTAATAGCAATTTAATTTAATCGTTAATTAAAAGAAATTTGATTGCAAGTTCCACGTTAATTGTTCTTTGATACTCCATTAAATTAAGGGGGTAATTATTTATTTGAAACCTTGAATGAAAATGTTCGTTAAGATAACCGTCAAGAACAGCGTGGTTAAATTTCCTCTTTTTTGAAAAACCCTATACGTCCCACTAGACAGTGACCTAGAAGCAACGAGAGATTATACCCTGGTGATAACCATATCCCTCAGAGTCGAGATTTATGCTTGGATTTTTGCACGAGGATCTGTTTTAACGAGCAGGCCTCCTGGGTAACTCTCCGTGAATTTGAGACCATTTAAAAGCGTTTTCCAACTTAATTTCGAGCTTGCACAGCTTTAACACTGCTATTCTTGTATGTCTGTTCAGTGTTGAGTTAATTTCTTCGATTTCTCAAGTGTTTCTCGATAGCTGTGTTATCATTTGCTGTTTATATCTCAGTTAACCTGAGAATGAATTTATTGCGGTTCTGCGAAATGGTTGCTTTATACGAAGTTGGATCAAGATGAGATTTTTGATATTTTATTGAGAAATTCATTGACTCATTATTTTTTGTGGAAATTATGGCATAACATTTAAACTTGTGATATATCATTAAAATCAGCAAAATTTTAAATACAATAGATATTAATTTTATTATAAATTTAAACATAGTATATACTATTAAATTTATTTAAGTTGCAACATGCTGCATATTAAAATTAATAAAACTTTAAACACAGTAAATATTAATTTATTATAAATTATGCTGTAGTGTTTTATAAAATTTGTTCAAATTTAAATATAGTTTATAATAAATTTATAATAAATTATACTAAATTTTTTAATTTATAGTAAATTTAAATGCAGTATATATCATTCAAATTATTTTAAATTTTATAAATTTGAACATAGTGTGTATTATTAAATTTGTTATAAAGTTACTATAAATTATTAAATTTATCTTAATTTAAATTTAATTAAAATTTTTAAAATTTTCAACACTTAATATTATATGCATTGTCCTCTTGCTATATTGCCAATTTCAAAAGCATATTACCGTCTATGGTAATAAACCAAGACTACGCTACTCGTCAATACCTACAAGTTTACGTTTTTACGTCACACGTAATTAGTAAACATTGTTCTTTTCACCAAAATCTTCCGGAATATCTTGATAAAATTTTCGCAACTTTAGAAGAGGTTCATAACGATGTCCCCGCTAGAGATAAGCATTTTCAGTATCATGTTTTCTCGGGTCACCTCATTCATCTTCATTTGCCACGGACAATTCAGCAGGTAAGGAGGTCGTACATCAAAACTTTCCCCGCAACATTTTCCCACCTTCTTTTAAATTCGTTTAACCATACGCGTCGGCGTTGTTATTAAATCACGCAATTTTA